CTCAACCATTCCGTTGCCCGTCTTGACGAGCTTTCCTCAGACCACAGCCCATTAATACTCCAAGTATCACTAGCTCCTATTCCTAAACCCTCTCCTCCGTCCTTCATCAGAGGCCCAGTTAACTGGAAACTCTTTCATCAAATCCTCTCCGATAAAATTGACCTCAGAGTAACCCTGAAAACCTCTGAAGACCTGGACAATGCAGTACATTCCTTCACTACCAAAATTCAAGAAGCAGTCTGGACTGCTTCCTCCCCTGATCACTCCTCAAAAATCCTTAAGAAACATAATTTACCTCAACACCTCCTTGACCTAATCCACATAAAACGCCGTGCCAGATTATTATGGCAACGTACCAGACATCCAGCCGACCGCCACTCCTACAATTATCACTGTAAAAAATTAAAAAAAGAATTAGCCACCTTCAGATCCCAATCATTCAATTCCTACCTCACCACACTCTCTGCTCATGATAATTCCCTTTGGAATATCACCAGAAAAATCCTCAAATCCCATCATATTTCCCACCCTCTTCGACGAGATGATGGCTCCTGGGCAGCATCTGATGAAGATAAAGCCGAGGAATTTGCCAAACACCTTTCCTATACTTTCGCTCCTCATCCAGAATCCCATCCCAGCCACACAGTAAAAGTAGAAGAATCCCTCTCAATACCTATCCCACTCTCCTTACCACCTAAAGCTGTTAATCCCTCTGAGGTCAAATACCTTTTACGGAAAATCACACCTCGCAAATCTCCTGGATATGACCTTCTAACCCCACAGATCCTTCGACAACTTCCATCTAAAGCCATCACATTTCTTACATATATATACAATTGCATCCTACGAACTACCCACTTCCCTCTTTTATGGAAACATTCCACCATCGTCCTCTTCTTGAAACCAGGCAAACCTTCCAACAATACAGCATCCTATAGACCAATTAGCCTACTCCCAATCCTCTCAAAAATTTTTGAAAAGATCCTACTGAAACGAATCCTACCTATAATTGAATCCTATAACCTTCCTACTCATCAATTCGGATTTCGTTCCCAACATTCCACTGTCCAGCAAGGACTCCGAGTTGTTGACCATATATCCTCAACCCTAGAAAGCAAGCAGTATTGCTCGGGTGCATTTCTGGACATAGCGCAAGCTTTTGACCGGGTATGGCACGCCGGATTACTCTTCAAGCTTAAAATCCATCTACCACAGTCCTTATACCTAGTACTCCGATCCTATCTTTCCGACCGCTCCTTCCGAGTTCGCTGTGGCACCGAATTCTCCGACTGTTACTCAATTGAGGCTGGCGTTCCTCAAGGCAGCGTCTTGGGCCCCATCCTTTACATTCTCTTTACCGCTGATATTCCTGTCCATCCCGATACCCTCCTGGCAACTTTCGCTGATGACACTGCTATCCTTTCTTCCAACTCAGATCCTGAAACAGCGTCCGCAAACTTACAAAGGCACCTCTTCCTGATTGAACACTGGTGTAAGAAATGGCGCATTAAGGTAAACGAATCTAAATGTAAACACATTACCTTCACCCTTCGGCGTAATACCTGCCCACCAGTTTATTTTAACTCCATCCAGCTTCCTTTCTCAGATACAGTCCGGTATCTTGGCTTTCTCTTAGACAGACGACTAACATGGAATCCACATACTCGACTTAAAAGACAGGAACTTAACAGACGATATGGCCAGCTATATAGACTACTGAATAGAAAATCTAAACTTTCTGGTGAAAACAAATTACTGATCTACAAGACAATACTGAAACCCATCTGGACTTACGGACTAGAACTATGGGGAACAGCCAAATTTTCTAACATCAAACGCATTCAATCCTTTCAGTCTAAAGTCCTCCGTACAATAGTCAATGCTCCCTTCTATGTAACCAATAAAACCCTACATCATGACCTTAATATCCCATTTATTCTTGATCTTATCCCAGCCAAATTTTCCAAATTTCACCAGAACCTTTCTCATCACCCAAATCCCGTTGTACAATCCCTATCAAGCACCACCCATCCCTACAATCCCCTTCGTAGGTTAAAGCGGCAGTGGCCACGAGACCTTTTGTAAATATGGATATTTTGGAGTTCTAGCAATGGCCAGATTCTCCACTCAAGTCATGAGTGTCTGTGGCTGTAGCGCTCTTACTCATCCTCCGCTGGTTTAAAATACCAGTGAAGTGGCTGAGGGAGAAGCGTAGGGATCTCCTAGGCCTCCCTTTTCCCTCCACATGTGGAGGGGACAGGATTGGTTCGGAGATCACCTGGCAAATTGTAAATAATGTATGTTTTATATAAGGTGTTTGTTTTACTTTTATTTCTATTTTTATTTACTTATGTGTATATATATTATTTTTTTTTCTTTACTCTTTTGTTCTTTCTTCTTATTCTTTTGTTATTACTTTATTTATTTATATTTTTGTATATACGGTATGAATGCAATCTCTGAACTCTATTATAAGTGTCCTTAACTGTGACAAATTGTAATATTTCTGAATAAAGTGTTTTAATAATAATAAAAAAAAAAATAAAAATATATACGGATGGAAAGAAGTTGTTCTACCAACCCACTTCTCTTTGGGAAAAAGAAGAGAAGCTGCACCGGGGAGACCACCAGAATAAGAATAAAAGTATACTAGATGCAAGTGAAGAGAAGAGCAAGCTGTGTGCACAGCTCAGAAAAATAATGTAATAGCCAAAAATGCAGCAGTGGGTTGTTATGTAACAGTAACATCCCACTACTGCAAATACCCGTATTGCCTTCAGGCAGGGGAGGGTTGAAAATAAAATAAAAAATAAAAACATACACACATGTCTTGAGTGAAGAATCTGGCCATTGCCAGAACTCCAATTTATACAATCTACAAAAGGTCGCGAGGCCACTGCCGTTTAAACCTTCTTGGAGGATTATAGGGATGGGAGATACATGATAGGGATTGTGCAAGAGGATTTGGGTGGTAAGTAAGGTTCTGGTGACATTTGGAGAATTTTTCTGGGATAAGGTCTAGGACAAATGGGATATTAAGGTCATGATGTAGGGTTTTGTTGGATACATAGAAAGGAGCATCGACTATTGTTCGAAGGACTTTAGACTGGAAGGATTGGGCTCCTCGAATCACCGCAGCTGTTTCCAAATTGGAGAAGGCATTTCTAGAACAAATTATACAGGAGGAGCCGTTGTTGAATTTTAGTCCTGCCTAGAAAAACGCACTTTTATACAAACATTAAATCAACAAAATTTGATGCATAAAATCAATAGTAACGGTACGTCACATGAATACATCAGAAATACGTTCACATAAAAAACTTTTAACAAATCTCGGTACCATATTTTTGCTGCGCGCCACATTTCAAAACCATTATATTCATGACAATTAAATTAATTTTAATTATTGAATAGAATTTAATGAAATTGACAATGGAAAACTAGTGCATTATAACCCAAATTTCCTCCAAATCCAACAAGCTGTTTATCAAAAATATACAATAAAGACGATTAAGGAGAATAAAAATACGTTTTCACGCCTCTAATCCAAGGAATTTTTCTGGATTTGAATTAGTTGTAATTTAGGAATCAATTTGTACAATTCTCGAAAATATTATGTAGTTCACATACACTATAGTAAGTGTAATAAGGCCGTCGTAGGGATTTTTTACTGAATTAATTCCCCGATATCTAAAACATGAGTAGAAAAACACTGTTATATTTGGTTATAAATATAAAACAAAATTAGTTTGGAATAAATAACAAAACATTGATGGTAAATGCTTGTTAAATCATATTGTGTATTCACCTTAAAATTCAAATAATATAAGAAATAAACATATTTCACCAGGACATTCATAAAATGTTCTTAGCATACAACGCCCTCTTCCCTGGCCCGGGAAAAAAAAACATATATAGCCGAAAAGGTGAGGAAGGACGGGATGAAAAAAAAAAAAAGAAGAAAATGAGTTCATAACTCATAGGATAAATTTTTAAACAAAATATACCTTATTATTATTTTGTTATAATTACTTAAATATAATTATTTGTTTTCTTATATTTAAATCATTCTATCATTTAAAATATCTGGTAAAATTTAATAAATATCAACGACGTAATGTATTTTATAGGAATATATCAAAAGCAGACAAGGAGGTGGGATTATCTGCAGTAAGCACCGACATAAAAATAATTTTAGGCATATCTAGTCAAGTGTATATGTTGAATGGGCATTAAGGTTCATGAGTGCACTATACGCCATAGAAAACACCAAACCCAAACCTACTCTGATAGAATAGAAATAAGAAATATGTGGTGACAACTGAGACAGAATGGAGAAGAAATAGTGTTAATTTGGTTCCTTTCACATTATGGAATCTCTAGGAAGGAACTAAATGATCAGGCAGCTTGTTTGGGATTCTCGGTAACAATAATAAAGAAAATTTTAAAAGAGGATTAGAAAAATGTGGTAAACCAAATGGCTACAAAACTAAAAGAGGTACGTTTTAGTAAGTTACGGTTTCAAATTGGAAATCTTCATCTGAATAAAATGAAAGATAGAGAATGCTCTTTAAGGATTGGGCACTTCGAATTTTGACATGGATAATTATTAACATGACTGGAGCTTACAACATGTGAAAGTTACAATGTTCAACGAACAGTTGAACTTGTTAAACAAGACTGCCCCAAATTTAAAGATATAAGAAAAAAATAATATATTACACTAACATTGAATGAAAAAAATAATTGGTGGTGTAAAACATATAAAAAAATCTCAAGTATTCTTTAAATTTAACATAACGGTGTTGCCAATGGCCTTACTTGATAGATACAACCAAATAAAAATATAAAATCATTCTGTATCACTTTTAAGGGATTATTTTTTGTACATCGTAACTTAGATAGTAAGCAAAGCTATAACTAACTATATTTAAAGAGAAGATGAAAATTGGAAAATTGGCCTCTTATTATAGCTGTCCTCAATTTTCTTAATTTCAGTATCAAATGCAATAGAATTCCATCATTATATAATTCGAGGACCATTTGGCCCCCAGGAATGGAAGTACTAATGAAAGGTTCTTGAAGAGAGGAGACATGACGCCGCCGCAGAGGTGGGTTCGGGAAGCGACAGCTTGGACCGGGGACTATTATTTTAAAAGGGCAGATTAGCGATAAATTGCAGGGGCAGTTAGTGCCCGTTAGCTCTTGTCTCATGTCCAATTACCGCGCTATAATCTCAGTTCTGATACATTAATAAGCCATTGCCTCTGCTCATCCTCCTTCCATGTCAACTGTCGTCGGCTCGTAGTTTAAGCATCTAGTCCAGCATCTGCTTGCTGTTTTAGAATGTGAAACTTGCTAACGAAAGGGGACATTACCAGAATATTTTTTATTGTGTTTGATTCCATGAGATATGTAATAAAATACAAGTAGATTATCTGTTAATTTTTTGGAATTGCCTTCCTATCAAAATTCGCCATTCTTCCTCCCTATCTACATTTAAAACCCTACTATTCCAATTTCTGTCCCAAAAAGATCAGGGGTGCCCAAAAGGTTTTATGAAGTAAGAAGTGGCATTTTTAAGAAAGGAACGTTTCTACGGGTTTATGAATTTTCGGAATGAAAAGTTTTAAAACAAGAGACAAAGGGAAAACATATAACAGACTGCTACAAGTGTAATTATACATGATTTACAATTTTTTTAATTTTTCTTTTTTAAATTAAGCAACAAACTATGTTGGAAGAAATAGGAAGATTCTAGTGCCATCGACCTTTGGGTAGATGGGCACATCTGTAGTGGGTAGCAATCGTAGCAACACTTTTTTGACAAGCGCTGTAATCTTTAAATATTCTTTTAAAAAAACTCAATACACTATTATCAATTAGGCTTGTTTAGACATTTTTTTTTTTATTTTTTATTTTTTTTCCACCCTCCCATGCCACCAGGGCAACACGGGTGTATGCAGTAGTGTGATGTTAAGCATTAATGCATAATAACACACTACTGCCATAATATCAGTTTACAAAATTCTAAGCTGTGCACACAGCTAGCTCTTCTACTTTTTCCTGGCTCCTTTAGGCCTGGCTTCCCGAATCCGGAGGTCTTCCTGGGACTGGTCCTCTTCTCCTGCGTGCACCTAGGTTAAAGTGAGCTGGGCCCACCGCCGTCTTCCAGCCATTTATAAACTCTTTGAACCGCGGGAAGTTTTCTTCACTCACCAACTGAGGAAACTCCTCCTCAGTGAGGACGTAAATCCCCGTGGTTCTCATTAACCTCGCTCTTAATTCGTCGAAAGCAGTGCAGGCCGTGACCACATGCTCAACAGTCTCCGGAACACCACAATCGGGGCAGTGGGGATCTATATCCTGTCCGTAGCCATGGAGTTTAGCTCTGAAACCCCCATGTCCCGTGAGAAATTGTGAAACCCAATAGTCCGGGAGGACCCATTTCGCCTGTAACCGAGATTCAACGGTGGGAAAGTATTTTCTTAAGGTACTGCCTTTCGGAGTCGTCACCCACCGTCTGCTCCAATCTTCAATTGTTTCCTCCCGGATAATCTTTTTCCATTTATTTGGGTTTTCAATAATCCTCATCCGTAGGTTCTCCGATAGACTAGTTGAGCCCTCCTTCTTGTAGTCATACCTGGTCACTTCTTCTCGCAGGAGGAGGTCGAGAGGCACCACCCCCGCTAAGACCTGCACTGCTTCATGCGACGTAGACCTATATGCTCTGGTGACCCGAAGCAGAGCAGTTCTCTGAGTCGATGCTAGCCTATTTCTTTGTCTGAGTGTGAGGTTTCGGAACCAGAAGGGAGACGCATACCTAAGGATACCCTCCACAACACCCTTATAAATAGTGATAGTGGCTGGATACCTAAGGCCCCAAAATGCGCCCCCCACACGACTTAGACCGTTCATTGCTAGGGCCACCCTACCTGCCAGATATTCCAAATGAGGCGTCATATTGAGGCCTACACCTAACCTAACCCCTAGGTAGGTTACCACCTCACTTGGACGTATCCTCTGACCTTCTATGTACATCGTTATAGGGTGTGCCCTATCAGTCTTTCCCTTAAGGAGGATGGCTTGAGTCTTAGCAGCAGCCATCCTCATCTTCTTCCCCTCACACCATCTAGCGACTAGGCTGGCGCATCGCTCTGCTTCTCTCTTGACTCCAGCTCTGCTGTTGGAGGCCACCACAGCAGCTAGGTCGTCAACGTAAGCAGTGGCAGGAAACCGCTCCTCCTCTAACACTCCCAGTAACTCATCAAAGACGAGCTTCCATAGAGCAGGACCAAGCACCGATCCCTGAGGGCAACCTCTCTCTATGGAAGCTTCTACCTCGTAGTAATTGCCTCTAATCTTGACACTTCTATCCTGGAGATAACTTCTTACTAATGTGTATAAGTTACTAGGAGCATCATACCTCTGCAGCTGCTGGAGCACGCTAGGCCACCATACGCTGTCAAAGGCGGAGGATATATCGAAAAGAAGCAACATGACATACCGCTCCGCCCTCTCCTCAACATCTCTGCGCACTCTCAGCAGGGCATCAGCGGTTCCTCTGCCTCTGGTTGATCCATATTGCCGTGGATGACTTGCTCTAGCGAAAACAGGCCGTAAACTAGTCATCATGAGGTTCTCCAGGACCTTGCTAATCACAGGGAGGAGACATATAGGTCTATATGAATTAGGGAGTTGTTTGTCCCTATCTCCTCCCTTGTAGAGTAGTCTCAAATCAGCGATCTTCCATCTTCTTGGAAAGTATCCCATATCCAGACATTCATTGAAAATACTCAACAGCCGGTCTTCAATATACGTGATACTGTTCCTCAAGATCGCTGCATCTATTGCATCAAGTCCTGGAGCACGATTAGTCTTCTGCTTATCCACGGCAATACGAAGATCGTGAATGTCCCATGGTGGGCACAAATCTGAACCAGGTGGATATACCGTGGTGCGTCTCACAAAATCATCATTTTCGCTGTCCTGGGTTGGGTCATCTCTGGGATATATTGCTTCAATGAAAACATTGGCAGTTTCTTCAAGGGTGGTTGCCTCAGTATTATGATACCGCAAGGCTGCAATAGTCTGCATCGGGGACAACTTACCCAATGCTACCCTATACGGAATACCCCAGGGATTCTTCGAAGACTCTTCAATGATGAAATCATCCCAAGACTTCCGCTTTTGTGAGCGAACCTCGTTTCGGTATATCCTGGCTTTTGACTTGTACTCATTGCGAAGTACAGTGCGCCTCTCTTCGCATCTGCACCTCTGATATGACCGCCGGGCCTTGTAGAGGTCTCGTTTTAGAACAGTTAAGGCTGGCGTCCACCATGGGACAGGTCGAACCCTCGCCTTCCGGTGCTTGAGGGAGTGTTCGGCAGCATCACGAATGTTGTTGGTAATCCTGGACACCTTGTAGTCCAGATTGTCAACTACATCCATCTCTGCCGCTTCCCACTCCTCGTCTGCAATCACTCCTTCCAGGTAGGACCTGAAGACACTCCAGTCATTTATTTTAGTGACGAAACCCTTATCAGTACCGTGGGAACATCCTGGCTCATTTACCAGGCCAATTGCTATCGCAACGTGATCGGAACTCGTATCAGATCTGAGAGTCCAATCAGCAATATACCTCGTAAGCGCAGGCGTGGCGATCGTGACGTCAATCCAACTCTGCCCCATGCCTCCAGAGAAGGTAGGGGTGGCAGAGGGTTCGTTCATCACGACAAGGTGATTTCTGCCTATGAAATTTCCCATTTTAGCGCCTCGCCTGTCAGTAATATTGGACCCCCAGACCGTGTTCCAGGAGTTGGTATCTGAGCACATGATCACATTCCTCATCTCTCTAATGATCGCCTCCATAGCGGATATGCTTTCTTCTACATCACTATTCACAGGTAGGTATGCCGATACCAATGTGAAAGAAATCTTGCCCCACTTAACGTAGCAAGATGCATAATCCGCCATGGTGTGTTGCCTCAGATCCATCACGTCAAGGTTAGGATTATTAATCACTATTGCAGCCCTGGGCCTCCTCTCTCCACTGCTCAGGGCTATAACTCTTGACGTGAGGCCAAACCCCGTAACCCTGTTCCCACGGCAGCTAGGTTCCTGGACCGCCATGATATCGTAGCGTTGTGCCATGGCGCGAAGCTCGTCAGCCACAATATGCCGGCGGCCCATATTCAACTGCAGGATGTTGAGTCTAATCATAGTGAGTTCTCCTCACTAATTCTTGAGATCTCTTGATGTGCACTGGGCATTCTCTACTTCCTGCCTGGTGTTTAGCCTTACTTTTTTGAACACCTTCCCTCACGCAGTTAACGCATGTAGGTGCGGTCTTATTTCCTTTTGCGGGACAGTTTTTAGCAATATGCCCACTCGCCGCACACCACTTGCATACTATGCCATTTGCCTCACAAGTAGCTTTTGTATGTCCATATCCCTGACACCTTAGACAGGGAGGAGCATCGGGGTAATCTAAGATTGTCAGTGACCACCAACCTCCTGTAATTATTTCCTCCTTGAGTAGATTATATCTTACCATTGGATGTACTTCTAACACCCAATTATTGGTAATTTTATTTCTAGCCATTGATGAGAACAATGGCTTTATATTACCTAATTGGTTCTCAGAAATAACGGCCGATTTTGCAGCCAACCTTTCCCATAGCACCCTTTCTAGATTTTCCGCACTCCATGAAAGGGGAACTCCTTTTACCTCCACTTTTGGTTTTCTTTTTAAGGCTAGTTTTGCCTCCATCCCAACTTCTTTTAATTTTTGCCATTCAATTATTTTTTTAGCATGGGCACCCTCATCTACACAAACTAAAACTGAGCCAGCTTTGGTCGCCCGTACAACTCTCGCCTTGACTCCTAGTTCAGTTGGAGAAGGCAGATTGTTGATGATGTCAGCTGCACTTTTACCTTGAGAAGCGATGGTAACATAAGTTGGTCTTGTAGTATCCATCGGTTTTAATGGTAGCCCTTTAACAATATCGGCCATCGTAGTCTGATGTGTGGACCTTTTCTTGGTCAAACTTTCCTCTGATATTGGTTTAGAGGCCTCGATCTCTTTGGCCACTTGTGGAAGAGCCTTTTTCCTTCTTTGCTTTTTCTTTACTTCCTGGAAACTTTCATTCTCCGTGGTCTCAATAATAGCGTGGGCATCGGCTAATAGCGGTTGTTCTTTAACGCATGGAAACTCCCGAGATGTCTGAGGTTCTGACAGTGGTCTTTGTATGGTTTTACTTTCCGACTTGAGTCCCTCGATAACCATAGGTACTGCTTTTTCCACTAATGCATTTACTATGATATCATACATTTCAGAGGAAGCTAATGTGTCCTTTACCACACGTTGTACTAAAAACGTTTTTTCATAGTTCTTATCATATATTGTCTCCATTATATCTATTAACTGCTGCATTTTCCCATTAACGTGCTTTTGTACCTTCGCACTCACGTTCCTGTCTGTTGCGTTCATGTAGACCCTGATGTTTTCTTTGATTCTACGTGCATCTTGCAGAAGACTATCGTCTACACGTTCTTTATCTGCTTCTTCTCGGGCGTCAGGAGATCCTTTCCTTTGCCTCTTTGCTGAAGGCCTTGGGCACTTTATAGCCTGTTCTTCCACCATTTCCTGCTCCATTGCTGATGCAATTTCATCAGCCATCTTACGCAATCCAAAATTAACAACTTTATACGTTGAAATAATGGGTGAACAACAGTAGAAGGAAATATTCAACACTCAAAATCTAACCTACGTTCGGGAAACTTATAAATTTCCTATCTTCAAAAGTAAGACTTTAATATGAACTTACCTTAGTGCTTCACCAACGTAATAGTCTCTAAACGTCCTTTTGGTTAGATTAAACCTTCGTGAAAACCACAAAGTTAACCTTAACCTCCACTGTTCACTCAAAAAGTTTATAAAATTAACTAAATAAACATAAACTAAAACTAAATCATGTTCAAAAAAAACTATAAAACACTAAAATAACACAAACAGTAGGAAACGATACAACAAAACTAACAAAACAAACTTGAAAAACACAAAACACTGAGAAGCACAATAACACTTTATCATAGGTAGATAACCTTCTGGGCTTGTTTAGACATATGAAATTGAGCTTTGGGACTCCATAAAATCATCGAACTATTCGGGATTATCTTATTGAATACGGGTATTTAACTTCTACAATCCCTAATCCTCCGTAGAACCCTTTATGCTCTTTGTGCCACAAATAAAATTTTCATAAACAACTCAATAGTCCCTTTATTACATATTTGGACCGTGTCAGATAATTCTTTTTTAATTCCAAACTTGCTGGTCACTTTAACCTCTTTGTTCACTACCTTTCATCCAAAACAATTCATAAAAACTTTCCGAGACGTCTATACATACTAGGTGCGGTCGAATACATACTAGATTTTAAAAAATAGTATTTTTAATTATTACTCCGGCGTTTCGACCCACCTTGCTGGTCTTCATCAGGTCTACAAAAGATACAAAATATAACAGGTACATGGTGAAAATAAAATAAATGAATTATAAATACATATTAAATAACTAACAGTTGTCTGATAAAGAAAGACATTCTGATGTCATCTTATTATTTCTTCATCTTCTTTGTCTTATTATTTCTTTATCAGAAAACTGTTTCTTATTTAATATGTACTTATAATTCATTTATTTTATTTACACCATGTACCTTTTATATTTTGTGGCTCTAATGAAGACCTGGAAAGGTGGTCCAAACGTCAGCGTAGTACTTAAAAATACTACTTTTAAAAATTAAGTATGTATTTGACCGCAATTCCCCGATCAACTCCTTCTCATATATGTCATATCAATTGTAATATTTTGGGTTAGTGATTGATAAACATGAAATGATTTGAGCTGTCATTCCAAGAAAACCTAAAACTACATGATAATTTGTTTTTGGAATCTTCTTATTATATCTTATAATAATTATGTCTCATTTTTGTAGTTATTGTTCTACTTAAATAATGAAACTAAATATTTTTATTGCTCAAGTATAAATACCACCGATTAGTTCTCATAAGTTTAAAATCTTATTAGTTTGAAAGGCCGGAAGAAAAAAACGCATTTGTACACACCTACTCAAGAACCACCAAAGAAAAATTGTTATTAGGTTGTGTTCTCCAAGATATCTCTGACGTTCCAGGCTCCTGCCAGTCTTCGAAGATCTTTGCTATTTGTTTAGCGGTGAATCCATCACTTCCGTCGGAGCTCTTTGCCAAGGAGCAAAAGGTCCTCAGCTGTGACGTAATCCCTGTGGCAAGAGGGGAAGATCGGAGGGCGAAAAGAGGTAGAGGTTCGGATGTGGGATCAATGCCGCCAGTTGGCCAAGAGGCAAACCGCAAACGTTAGCAAATCGAGTCAAGGTCTTGGGGGAAACGGAGCACGTTCGAGGGCGGGGATCCACGAGGATATCGAACGAGATATCGAGTCAAGGGAATCGATACCGCTCACTTTGGCACCCGACGTTTCGAAACAAAGAAATTTACTGACCCCTCGGAACTAACATATTTATGATAATATTTTTCGCAACGCGAAAAGTCTATGAAATCGCAGAGCGAGTAAATAGGTGAGTACGATAAGCTTAACGCTCTACGTTCTGGTTATAGTGTTGGTCCTCAACATTGAATAAAACAACTTCAATTATCTTATAACTTGCAAAATATTATTGTCAGCTAGTATTGTATTTATACAGTGTGGTATTATTATAAATATATTATTGGGTAAAAAAAAATACTATTAAATTCTAGAATAATGTCGATATCAGCAAAGACATCTCTTTGGGTTTACTCAGTCCTTATAACACGGCTCCTAGAGTTCCTAGGTTTGGTGATGAATAGTGTTGCCCAAAATCGGTTTTGGTCTCGGTCACTTTGCAAGAACAAGACCAAGAACAGGAATAGTAAAAAAAATCGATTTTTAAAATTAAATTTAAGGCAAAATAGTTACTAATACTTGACAATCTTAGTTACTATCTTAGTTAGTAATTGGTATAACCAATATACTTCTGCATTTAACTCATTAATTAAAAAAGTAATTAAAAACACCTATCACATTTTAGAATATGACCTCGAGATACGTAAAATTCATTAATTAGTCGTAGAGTAGTTGCAATAGAACATATATCCGATAATATATCGGTTCACCATAAAAAAAAAAAATTACTGCTGCTATTTAAAAATATTTAATTAATATGAGGTATAGATTGTAAAAAAAAACAACGTAAAGTTATTTAATTTTTTTGATTTTTTTCGGCAGCAAAGATGGCTCAATGAAGTATTATTTGAGAAATAATAAGGCTCTATAATGAATTAAAATTCAAATTGAATAAACGAATATCAAATAACAGTTGCAAAATCAAATCATTAAAAAAATAATACTAATAGAAAACGAAGTTATAAATTTTTGAAAATAAAAAAAAAAGTATTTTAATCAGCAATAAGCACTTATAAGAAATAAATGGACATTTTACATAATATTAGGTAATTTATGAAAAAGGATTTTTCTTCATTTCATTTACTTCATTTTTCCGGGTGCAATTATTTCAATTCTGAAAAAAAAGTATTAAGTATTCAATTGTCTCTATTGTGAAATTGATTAAAAATAGTTATGGAAAACGATTAAGAATTTCTGTCACAGTCACATTTAGTGACTATGAAACATCGCCTCACGATAACCATTGCTTTTCGAAATGTTTAATTATCTTTAATAGTTCACGAGTGTTCGCTAACGCTTTAGAGGTTACACAATATAAATGGTTAAAATTAATGTTGGTGATTTTCACAAAGGTATTACCTTACTATATAAAACAAATTGTATATAGGTGAACTGAAACAAAGGCTTGTTATAGTTGACGTTGCCAATAAATAGGATGATTATGCCAGAAAAGAGTAGTAGGAGATTCGAATGACAGTTCAACAATAGATTTGTTTTTTATTCTGTAAGTAGTAAACTTACTAAGGGTATATAGTTAATACTGGAAAAAAAAAGTAATTTAAAGAAAGAGCTTAGATTTTACTGTATATATATAGAGCGAGAGAGAAAGAGAGAGAGAGAGCGAGAGAGAGTGAGAGAGGGAGAATTAAAAAAATAAAATTATAGTATAATAAAATATTCATTACATGCTGTTTTAAGTAATATATGGTTGTATTCGGAGAGAGATTATAGCAATCTTTACTTGTATATATATATAACTGCTAAATTAAATTTTAATGTATTAGGTTAAAATTGTAATATAATTCTTCAAACTTAAATGACCACAGATGTTATTTCATATTCTGAAAAGAAATTTCGTGCTCTTTAATTGACCGTATTGGGGTATTTTGAGAGTGATTCAAGCAATTTTTTTAGTTTTATTTGTAACTGGTAAATTAAAATTTAATGTATTAGGTTTGAATTGTAATAAAACTCTTCAAACTTAAATGACCACCAATATAATTTTTGCATTTGGTAGAGAATTTTATACTGTTTTTATTAATAAATGGTTGTACAGGGGTTTTTGGGGATAGACTTTTGCTGTAGGCAGTTTTTAATACTTTTATCACAAATCTGACAATTTATGTTCACAAATTTGTTTATACATGACGAAAAATTATAATGCTAAAATTGATGCTGTTAGCATATTCTTCATTATGTTTGTTACAAAAATGAATAAATATTGAAAGTTCTTAGTGAATAAATGTTGGTTTCACAAATGCAAACATAACAGGTACATTCTGGTTTTGAGCTCAAAATGTCTTCAAATATTTCATAAGTTCAAATGCCTATAATTCTGAAACTAATCTTTAGACTTGGATTACATTTGGTATTTTTATTTACTTGTACATTCACTTAATATTTACTAATTTTCATTAATATCTGAGGAGGGTGGCTGTCAAGTTGAACTTTTTCTGGTTGGTTTGGCATGGAAAGACTCACTAGCGGTGTTTAAGTGATTCTTGAAGTCCTATTAAATGTAATTACACGAACAATTATACTTTAAGAGATTTTTTTTTCTATAAAACATGATTATATTTTACCGTTTTGGAGAAGGGAGGGGGAGGGTCGGGCTAAAATTCCCCTCCTCGTAGATCCGCCTGTGGAAAGACCCATAAATGAATAAAAATAAATATAACGGTAATATATGATAACGAGTGTCCATATCATTTTTTCAAATATAAATTTTTTAATATATAGGAAATTTAAATTATTTTAGATAGAATATTCGAAAAGTTTTTTTTTTTAAAACTATTTATACAAGATATTTAAAATTGTATTACAGTATAAATATATCAAGTAAATGTGTACACAGGAATATAACCACATGAAAACGCTTATTGAGAAACTGCCCACTAGTAACACAATAATAATACGTCTATATAAGGAGATCACGAGGCCATCTTCATTTTAGACGCTTAGGAGGGTCGAAAAGTTTAAAGTTTAAAAATATAAAATATAAGCTTGAAGTATTAGGTTCCTCCAGGTTTACGGAAAACTATTATTTTGCTGTCTCTAATATACATATAAAGCTTAGGTATCAATAAATCAAAGATTTTACTTATTATATCTTAATATTAAAATAATAAATTAAAATAAATAACATCTTGTTATGTGCATCTTTTTCATCTCGTACGAAATTTACTTTATTTAAT